GCGATGTCTTGCTCGATCTTCCGCGGGGCCAGCGGGGCAGTCAGGAGCGCGCTGCCCAGGACACGCTGCCCCCCCCCCACCCCCGATGGGCCCTGCAGCCTTACCGATCCCCCCCCCTCGTGCAGATGCGGGGGCTGGGCCTGAGTGGCTTCGGTGCAAGATCTGCTGGAGGTTGAGGGTCAGGACCGAAGTGCGACGGAGCCGCCCAGCTGGGAGGTCGGTGTCGGTTCGTGTCGTGCGTGCGGGCGAAGCGAAGCAGCGCGAGTTCCTGCACTAGGTGATAGTTTTTTATTCATTGGACCCCGGACCCTCGCATCCCCCCCTCGCCCCCCCCTTGGAGTGGATATTGGCTGCTTTCTGGCGCCTGTTCCGAGCAGGTGGAGCCTCCCCCGCAATGGACGCCCTGTTGCTAACAGTCGTGCTAAGCAGAAGTCCGGAGCCCAGATACCCCCCCCCCTCCGCCCAATGCCGCGACGCCGAATAGAGAAACGCTCACCAGCTGGGCCCAGGACACGCCAGGAGGAGTCGCGGACGTCCCGTGCGTGCGCGGGCTGTCCCCTGGTGGGCCCGAGGTTGCCTCGTGGCGCGCCAGGGGCTGTCCCGCGGCTGCCCCGCGGTGTTTAACGTATTTGTCCCGCGTTTGGCTGTCCGCTGGAAGGGTCTGGTGTTAAGTCGGGCGTGTCTTTCTACAGGAGGAATATTCAATAGCCGCAAATAGTCAGGGGACGATTTTGGGATTCTGTTTGACTTTGTTTGAATATTTGTCTTCCAAAGTCCGCCTGCAGGAGGACATGCCCGACCGAAGTCCAGTTGCGCTGCCGCGCATATCCGCCACCGCGCTTTTGGGAAGCTGCGCAGGCAGGCCGCAGCGGTGCGCAGACCTGGCGTTCGATGGCCCTTGGCATCGTGTGGAGCTGAAGAAGTTGCCGCTGCCGACGTTGCTCGCTGGGAGCGCCCTGGGAGGGCCAGCATTGGGGAAGCCCTGGGAGGGCCTTGAGAGCGCCCTCGGAGCTCCTGAGGTTTAGCAACGAAAGACCTTCTGAGGTTTAGCATAAACTTGAGGTCCGCGCGGAATTCTCGGATCGGGGCTGGCCCCCGAGCTCCAGGCTGTATGGAGGTTGCCCTGGGAGGGGGGGCCAGCCCTGGGGGAGCCCTGGGAAGGTCTCGGGATGGCCCTGGGAGACCTCTCGGAACCTCGGGGGCGTCTCGGGGCCTCATGTTGGCCTCTGCGGCCCACTGGGGGCTCTTCCTTGGGGCCTCTTGGCCCTTCTTGGGGGCCTCTTGGGAGCCTATGCGTGACCTGTTGGGAGCTTCTTTTGGGCTTCATGGGGTCAGCGCCACCGCGGCCGCGCCGGTCGCGCCAGATCAGCTGGCCGCTCTGCGTGCTAGCCTGCGCGCGCTAGCGCGACCGCAGCGACGCGCCAGCCAGCGCCAAACAGTCATCGAAATCGCCGCCGCATGGGATTGCATACCAAGTGGCGCGTGGATGGGCGGGATGATTGGGGGAGCAATGGGGTTGACAACTCACTAGTGAGCATGTGCTATGTGCACCATATAGATTTTGCGCCATAGAATGCTGAACGTAGATTGCACCACGCAGATTGCAACACAATGGTTGCTCCATCTATGTTGCACCATGTAGATTGCGCCACACAGAGTGCAACACATAGATGGCACATCCTAGACTGCATAATATCGATTCTCTTTTCTAAAAAGAGAATTGACTCTCCCCACCCCCGGCGTTATCGATTCCCCTTTCGGGTATATAAGTCATATATGATTCTGACCACATGTCCATCTTAACTATGAATTTACATTACCCCCGGGGAACCAGTATTGCTCCCCCTGAGGTTCCCTTGTGAAAAAAAAACACTACGCGGAGACATCTTTTTTCATGAATCCCTTGCAAAAAATGGGACGAAGTGCACACGCGCGCGCCGTCGCGCGCGCATGCCGAAATCCTCCAAAAACCTTCGGTGTCGGAAGGATTCCGCAATCGAGTTTGCAAAAAACATAGAAATGCAAAAAACATAGAAAAGCACAGGGTTTCGCATTACTGATTTGCTAAAAAAGCTTACGCGCGAGCTCTTGCAACATATTTTAGAAACCATCGGTTTTTCAAGATTTTCACAACATGCTACCAAACGGGCTTCGCGCGCGCACGTCGAAATCTGTCGAACGCCCTTGCGCGTGTGCCGTCGCGAGAATCCTCTGCAAAAAATGGGACTAAGTGCAGACGCGCGCGTCGTCGCGCGCGTATGCCGAAATCCTCCCAAACCCCACCGGCTTCGGAAGGATTTCAACATCGTGTGTCCAAAAAAACCTACAAAAACACAAGGTTTCGCAACACGATTTTCAACCAAAGCGTGCGCGCGCGCTCTTGCGTCGTCGTCGTCGTCGTCGCCGTCCTCCCTCCTCCCGCGTCGTCGTCGTCGTCGTCGCCTACGTCGTCCTCTGTCTTTCCTTCGTCGTCGTCGCCCTCTTTGACATCGTGGTCATTTCTGTCATCATTATCGCCGTGATCATCCTTCCTCCTCCTCCCTCGTCGTCGTCGTCGTCGTCGTCGGTCGTCGGCGTCTCGTCGTCGTCCCTCCTATTTCGTCGCCGTCGTCGTCGTCGTCGTCGTCATCGTCGTCGTCGTCGTCGTCGTCGTCGTCTTCCCTCCTCCCTCGTCATTGTCGTCGTCGGCGTCGCCGTCCTTCCTCCTTCTTCGTCGTTCGCGTCGTCGCCGTCCTCCCTCCTCCCTCGTGGTTGTCGTCGTTGTCGTCGTTGTCGCCGTCGTCGTTCTCCCTCCTCCCTCGTCGTCGTCTTCGTTGGCGACGTCGTCGTCGTCTTCGTCGTCGTCGGCGTCGGCGTCGTCGTCGTCTTCGTCGTCGTCGACGTCGGCGTCGTCGTCGTCGCCGCCGTCGTCGTCGTCGTCGTCGTCGTCGTCGTCGTCGGGGTCGTTGACGTCGTCGTCGTCGTCGTCGGTGTCGTCGTTGTCGTCGTCGTCGGCGTCGTCATCGTCGTCGTCGTTGTCGTCGTCGTCGTCGTCGTCGGCGTCGGCGTCGTCATCGTCGTCGTCGGTGTCGTCGTCGTCGTCGTCGTTGTCGGCGTCGTCGAAGTCATTGGAGACGTCTTCGGTGTCGTCGTAGTCGTTGTCGGCGGCGTCGTCGTCGTCGTTGTCGCTGTCGTCGTCGGCGTCGCTGTCGTTGCCAAGTGCCATTTGGTACCCACCGTCACGGTCTTAAGAGATTGCGCAAACCAGGTTGCGGGTGGGTGGGTGGGATGTTTGCGCGAGCAGTGGAGTGGACAATTCACTGCGGACAGAAATTAGCTGCACCCCCCAGACTCTCCTTTCGAAAAAGAGAGTAGACTACCCCCCCCGGCGTTATCCATTCCCCTTTCGGGTATGTAGATAATCATTTATGATTCTGACCACATGGCCATCCTAAATATGAATTTGCACTATCTCCGGGGAACCGGTATCGCTCCCCCTGAGGTTCCCTTGTAAAAAACACTACGCAGGGGACATCTTTTGTTCTAACATAGCACTTTTTCGCAAAACCCTTGCGAAAAATGCGACGAAGTGCACACGCGCGCGTCGTTGCGCGTGTGCCGTCGCGAGAATCCTCTGCAAAAAATGGGACTAAGTGCAGACGCGCGCGTCGTCGCGCGCGTATGCCGAAATCCTTCAAAACCCCACCGGCTTCGGAAGGATTTCAACATCGTGTGTCCAAAAAACCTACAAAAACACAAGGACTAAGTGCAGACGCGCGCGTCGTCGCGCGCGTATGCCGAAATCCTTCAAAACGGCTTCGGAAGGATTTCAACATCGTGTGTCCAAAAAACCACAAAAACACAAGGTTTCGCAACACGGATTTTCAACCAAAGCGTGCGCGCGCGCTTGCGTCGTCGTCGTCGTCGTCGTCGCCGTCCTCCCTCCTCCCGCGTCGTCGTCGTCGTCGCCTACGTCGTCCTCTGTCTTTCCTTCGTCGTCGTCGTCCTCTTTGGCGTCGTGGTTGTTTCCGCCGTCGTTGTCGCCGTGGTCGTCCTTCCTCCGTCGTCGTCGTCGTCCGTCGTCGGCGTCTCGTCGTCGTCCCTCCTATTTCGTCGCCGTCGTCGTCGTCGTAGTCGTCGTCGTCGTCTTCCCTCCTCCCTCGTCGTTGTCGTCGTCGGCCTCGCCGTCCTTCCTCCTTCTTCGTCGTTCGCGTCGTCGCCGTCCTCCCTCCTCCCTCGTCGTCATCGTGGTTGTCGTCGTTGTCGTCGTTGTCGCCGTCGTCGTTCTCCCTCCTCCCTCGTCGTCGTCTTCGTTGGCGACATCGTCGTCGTCTTCGTCGTCGGCGTCGGCGTCGGCGTCGGCGTCGTCGTCGTCTTCGTCGTCGTCGCTGTCAGCATCGTCACCACCATCGCTACTATCATAATCGTGTCTGAGGTTGTCGACGTTGCCATGATACCGCGCCTGCCCAAGTCGCCGATTCGTACCGAAGTGCCCGCTGGGATGTGCCGAGCTATCAGCGCCACCGCGTTCGCGTCGGGCGCGCCAAACTAGCTGGCCGCTGCGCGCGCGAGCATGCGCGGGCTAGCGCGGACGCAGTGATGCACCAAACAACACCCAGCACTCATCGTAATCGCTCCCGCATGGGTTTTGCAAATCAAGTTGCGGCTGGGTGGGTGGGATGACTGCGCAAGCAGTGGAGTTGACAACTCCAAGTTCGGCAAGTGAACTGCTCCACATAGATTGTTCCACAGAGATTGCGCCGCACATTTTGCTAGGAACGCGTCTCTGGGGCCCACGGTGGCCAACATTGATCGATCGTGGGGTAGACTTGTAAAGAGTACGGACCAGTAGATGGGCAGGTCCATATCGATAGATTGATGGATCGCGAGTCCGATCTGGCGCCAATTGTAAACCGAAAGTTGCATCCATCCCTTCCCAAACAACTTCCTTATCACCCGACGGGTGGTCCAGTATGTATGTTTTGTATGCCAGGATGTGTTTGTTAAGGTAGGGCGGGGAGGCAGCCTTGGCGAGAAGGAGACCAATCACTGCGGACACTGGGGGCAGCCGTACAAGAACTCGACGAAGCAGAGGCAGCGCCCGCGTGGCTTCAAGAACCGGTTGCAGACGTGGGACAGATGAGCATGTCCCGTTCACGGAATCGTGTCGCGCGTTGCGTGTGTCTTGAGGCGAGTCCGTGTGCATGCTCCCACTTTCTTCTGGACGTTGAGCGCGGCCTGCTGCTATCTATCACTTGATGGGGTCACGATTGAAGGAGGCAGAGGCAAAGGTATAGTTGGACGCATGGGCCAGTCCTGGGCATTGAGTTTGAAGTATGTGCGTAGGTGTACATCCAGCGTGCGTACCAAACAGCCAACGCAGCATGCAGCAGCATTACAAAACAATGCGGCGCAAAGTGCCGACATTCAAACCAACGCAAAGCAATGTCAACCCACGCAACGCAGAGCAGACGACATTAAAGTATGGCGCAACCTGTGGCGCAGTTGACGACCACCAGGCATTCCCGCTGGCACCAGGGGTATCCTGGGCGGCACCATACTGTGGCGCAACCTCTGGCTCAACCTGCGGCCACCAAATATCTTCTCAAACGCAAGGGGACCAATCCTATGTGCGGGACCCGACGCCGCAGCCTGAGGCCACCAAGAACCTGCGCCAGCGCAAGGGACTCCTACCAGCAGGCCCAACCTCTGGGGTAGCCTGCGGCTTCCAAGCGTTCGCACCAGGCACGATTTTTTATGCGCCCAATGAATGGAGCAACCTATGGAGCCACGTTGTGGCCACCGATAGCCAGCCTATGGAGCAACCTCGGACCAGTGGCGCAACCAATGCAGCAGCCCACGGCCACCAGAAAGTCCGCGCCAGACCGTGCCCAGTGTTCAAAGGATGACGCAAGAAATCCACTTTGCAGGCATTGGTTGGGGAGAATCGTAGGAAGGCTGTCTTGCTAGCTCAGCGTGATCTGCGCAAGCTGGCTACCATGCCGACGCGTGTACAGGAGAGTGGGCACCCACCGAAAGCAGGCGTGGCATTTGCCCGGCCCGTCGCGGGGGCTCCTCACCGAAGCGGCTCGTCGAAGGGCTCCCCGAGCACCGCACCAGCCCATCGTCCAGCCTGGCGCAAGTGGTTGAAGGCTGGACGTTCTCTCCCAGCGCGCATCCTGCGAGCGGCGGGGAGGAGAAGTCGGAGCCAGAGCCCACCAGGGGGAGTATTGGGGGGTGCGCAGTGCGGGGCGATAGCTGGGGGGGCAGCGTGGGCTGCAGAATAGGAGCCCCTAGAAGGGCCCTTGGGGGCCCCAGAGAGGGCCTGTAGGGCCCGAAAAGGGCGCGTTATCCGTAAGGCCTCCGCCCCCTGCCGCCGGCCCCCTGTATGGAGTAGCAGATCATGCAAGAGCGACGTCGTGAGGTCTGGGCGTCGTCTTGTGGAAGGTTTCTCCGAAAGGCTTAGGCGACCCTTCCTCCTCCTCCTCCTCCTGCTCCTCCTCCTCCTCCTCCTCCTTCTCCATCTCCTCCTCCCCCTCCTCCACCTCCTCCTCCTCATCCTCCTCGGGTCGCCTACGGCCCGGGGGGAAACCGTGCACCGTCTTGAAGCAGAGTCGGAACCTTCTGCCGGACGATAACTAATCAGCAAGAAAGATGTCGATTCAGATGAGATTGTTGAATTCGGTGTTGCATTGTGGATTTGCCCCCGCATGCTGTGCATTGGAGGCCCTCTTGGAAACACTGGGGGCTGCTTGAGGCTAGAGTGGGCAAAATCGCGCGGCAGGGGCGGCCTTCGGGCTCCTCGGCGTCTGTTGTAAGGTACTGAGGCCTCGGGGGCGCGAGCGCGCCGTAATTTGCAAGGAGTCCTGGCCTCGGGGGCGCGAGTCTTGTGGAAGGTACAGAGGGCTTATGGCCTCGGGGACGCAATTATTGTATAAGTTTCGACTGTTTGTGGCCTCGGGGACGCGACTATGGCGTAATGTACGAGGGCTTATGGCTTCAGGGATGCGAATCTTGTGGAATTTGAGAGGGTTTAAAGTTTCGGGGACGCGAGCGTTGTAAGTTACGAAGGTATCTGGCCTCGGGGACGCAAGCATTGCATACTTTACAACGGTTCATGGCCTCGGCGACGCGACTATTGCATGACGTGCGAAGGTGTATGGCCTTGGGGACGCGAAGATGGTGTAATTTACAAAGGTTGATGGCCTCGGGGACGCGAATCTTGTATAATTGACGCAGGTGTGTCGCCTCGTGGACACAACTATTGTGTAATTTAGAAAAGGGTGATACGGCCTCGGGGACGCGAATATTTTTTGTAACTTGCAAAAGTTCATGGCCTCGGGGGCGCAGACATATTAGAATTTACGAGGGATCGTAGCCCAGGAGGCGCGAATCTTATTTGTACTTGGCCCAGGCCCCCCTCGGAAATTCTGAGAACCCTCCTGGGGGAGGGTAACCAGGGTAGTTTTCGGCTCCCCCCCTCGCGCGGACAGGAGCAATTTACAGCAGGAAGCAGGAAGCAAGACTGTAACATTGGAAACTGGAAAATAGAAGTGGCACAGGGAGCAGCAACCTGACCCTACAGCTTAGTGGCCCCACAAGGGGGACGGCGGATTCCACCCCCTTCATTTGTCGCCCCCCCACTTATTCGCGCCCAAGGGGGGGAGGGATGGCAGGGGCGAAGGGCGGGCTTGTCCGACGACTTCCGCATTTGTGGGGGGAGGCGGCGGCTTCAGTCTCGCGACGGCGCGGGGGGGGGGGGCACGGGGAGGCAAGCAGGCAGGGAGAGGAGCATGTGAATCGGGAGGGGAACAAAAACACACAGACACAATGAATCGTCGATTCCCAAGGAAAATCTAGGAAATTATGGGAAGTGGGGGGGGAGACAAAAACCCTGAAAATATGTGAAGATATGGGGAATCCTGCTATTTGTGTGTATTTATTTGTGTGTCCCAGGGCCCCTTAAGTGAAGCAGGAGGGAGGAGGCACACCGCCAGCGGAATCTGTGACCCCGCCCCTGTGGCCAGGATGTGGGAACCTCCTTTTGCCCACATCGGGGCTCAAGAGACGGAGGGTCCATGCAAACTGGGGCCAGTCAGAGCGCCAGATCTTGCAGGATCCTGCAGAGCCAGGGTTGCATTGACCTGGGTTTGGGCGCAGGATCCTGCAGGATCTTGCAGGATCCTGCAAGTCCTGACTGACCCTGGTTTGCAATGACCCGGGCCAGTAGATCCCCGACCACAACGTGTCCAGCCAGCATCGCGGGGAGGCCAGATACGCACGACGTGGCCAGCCTTGGCGGGAGTGGGCGCCTGCCTTTCCAGCGCGCGGCCCTCGTGTAGCCAGGCGCGCGGACAATTCGTATATGTCTTCTAGCGCGCGGCCTCCGCACATTCCGCACGTGAATCCCGTGCTGCCCTTGCCCGTTTCCAGCTTCCTGCTGGAGGAAGAGAGGGATAGAGAAAGAGAGAGAGAGAGAGAGAGAGCCAGAGAAAGAGAACGGGACGGAGACAACGAGGTGGGTAGCCCGCGCTCTCGCTCTCCCCCTCCTCTTCCGCTTCCTCCTGCCACGTGTGCTTTGTGGGATCCATGCTTCGATTGTTCAAGAGATGCGTATATTTATACACATATGTATATATATACATATATCCAACTATAGTACAATATACATATATATACACGTATGTGTATAAATTGAGAACGCGAGAGAGGCACTAGTGCGAACACGCGTGTCAGAGCGCCGGACTGCAAGCGCCGCGCACGCTCGCCGCTCCTCCTCGGGGCAGGGAGCAAGCCCATGTGTAAAGCAGTGGCCCTGGGCACTCCACTCCCGGCGTGGACCGCACTGGCACACGCTCCTCCGGGACGAACCGCGGCCGTCAGTCACAGCCAGTATCGATTAATCGATCCCCATCCCCACCCCCATCCCCATCCCGACCCCCGCCATCCCACCACCCCAATTGGGGATGTGCCCTTCGAAGCTCGACGGGAACAGCCTACATCCCCATCTTGGGGGAGAAATCGGCCAGTGTGGCCCAGGCGACGCCCGTGGGGATAAAAATCGGTTAAAAGATGCTCACGCACTGCAGTGGAAGTGCGCGGTGAGCCACGGATAGACGGATGCCGACACCCCCAAGAAGTGCTCGTGGCGGGAGCGCGGGGTGAAGGTTAGGGATTTTCTCTCTTGGCAGGTTGGCCCCACTGAGAGCGACAGAAACGAAGAGATGTTCCGTGGCGAATTTGCCAGGCGTGACGCGGGCCGAAGGGGTGAAACGGCAGAAGAAGCGCAGGCGCCAGGGGACGACGGCCGTCCCTCGCAGTGAAGGGGCGGTTGAACCCAGGCGCCCGCGACCGTGCCAGAGAGCACGGTCGCCCCCCGATCCCTCCATCACAAGACCAGGCGCACCCGAAGGCACGGCCGGCGAGGAGAGGAGGGAGCGTGGGAGGCGCGTGAACCTCGCCGCCATTTTCGGACAGTGGGGGCGCGCTTCTGCGGGGGGGGGCCGGCTCACGGCCAGAATGGCCTGCACAGGATGCCGTAGGAGTAATTGGCAACGCAGCGCCGAGAAGCAGCGTAAACGAGCTTGCTAGGCAACGTCAGGGGGAGCTGCGGCGTGCAGCGGCGCCGAGGACTGGGGTTGGGGGGCCCCCCCCCGCGGCGCGGGCCACGGTGGCCGCAGCGGCGGTGGCCAGCGGCGTCGCTGAAGGCATGGGGCTCAGGCGTCCCTCCCACGGCGGGAGCGGCGGTGTCTGTTGGCGGTATGCGGTAGGGTGCTTTGGCGGGCGTTGGCCGCGAGCCACGGCGTGGAGCCGTGGCCGCAGGGTACGGGCGAGATATAGCCGCAACCTCGGCCTCGTTCGTGACAGCGTCGTCGTCATGGCCGACGTTGCATGGGGGACGCCTCCGCCCCCACCTGGGACGATATCTCCAGCCGTGCGGAAGGCCGTCCTCGTCCTTAGCCTCCGCTTGGAGGAGGTCGTCGACGTCGTGGTCGACCGACAGGCTGGATGGCCACCAGACTGCCTTACAACTTACAACCATTGCCCAGTACTCGCCAGCAGCGCTTGTTCTATCAACGACCGTGTCACGGAGACCATCCGTAGGGTTAGAGCTTCGGTTGGTTGCTATGGCGGTAGTTCCAACACGGATGGGTGGCCGGAACGGATGGTGGTTGGTTGCGTGATTGTCGTGAGGCTGTGGCAGTGGCGCAGGAAGGCTGCAGCGCAGTGGGGCTGGCGGATCATTGGGACCAGCGCCA